CGTCCCCTGCATCGGCAGGGGACGCGGGTTCATGCCCCGGTCCAGGAAGATCCCACATGCCGCGGAGTGGCGGGGCCCGAGAACCATGGCTGCTGAGCCTGCGCGTCCGGAGCCTGTGCTCCGCGATGGGAGAGGCCACAACAGTGAGAGGCCCGCGTACCGCAAAAAAAAAAAAAAAAGAAATTAAAATATTGTTGACTAATGCAATACCCTATAACAGTAGGCGCCTCTTCTCTAAAACCCTTATCATATTTTAAATAGCAAAACAAAATGTGTTGCTGCTCTTCTTACTTCACTTTTGCTCTCCAGTGGTATGTAAAGAGTAAAAATAAGAAGGAAAATGGTTATAATGAAGACAGCCGCCTCAAGGCATGAGGAACAGGGCTAAGATCTATACACTCAACCCATGAATCAAGCAGGGATTGTTCTTAAAAGGAATGAATTAATTTTTTTCTTTTTCAATCTACTTTATTGAGGTATATTTTACATACAATAAAATGCTCCCATTTCAAGTGTACAGTTTGGTGAATTTTGACAAATGTATACATCTGTGAATCCCAGTCAAGCTGCAGAACTTTCCCATCTGCATCTTGTACCCTAAAAAGTACCCTAGTGCCTCTGCAGGCAATTCCTTCCTGCCTGTAGCTTCCAGGCAACCACTGATCTGCTTCCTGTTATTACAGATTAGTTCTGCTTGTTTAGAACGTCATACTGATGGAGTCATACATTAATATGGTGGTTTCTTTTGTGTCTGAGACTTACCCACGTTGTTATGTGTATCAGGAATTTCTTTTTATAATACCACCGAGTATGCATGAATATACCACAATTTGTTTATCCATTCACCTGCTGATGAACTGATGGATACGTTGTTTCCAGTTTTTTACTTTTATGAATTAAAGCTGTTATAAACATTGTTTGGTATTATGGTAATGTATGTTTAACTTTAAAATAGATTGCCAGTTTTCCAAAGTAGTTGTACCATTTTACACTCTTACAAGCAAAATATGAGAGTTCTAGTTATTCTGTATGTTGGCCAATATTTGGTATCTTCAGCCATTTTAACTTTAGCCATTCTAGTAAGTGTGTAACGGCTCATTGCGGTTTTAATCTGCATTTTCCTGACAACTACTGACATTTAACATTTGAGCTAAAATTTGATTATATTTATATATATGTCTCCCAATTGCAACAGAATATAGTAGTCTCTAGGGAATATCTTTATTATTTCTGTATTTCCAAACTAGATTATTTTGCAGAAGAGGATTATAGAAATCTAACTCATATGCTATAGAAAAAGATCAGTTTATGGAACTAAGTCTGACTTCCAGGTAAAACGGCATTATGGTACAGTGTTTACATTGAGCGCCCACAAAAATAAGCTCCCAGTTGCCAGATAGAGCTATAATGTTACCACCTCTACTGCCACCATCTGGTAATGATAAAAACAAATTTAGAAGATACCACAGGATTGTACTGTTCTTGGTCAGGAAAAGTCAAATTTCGAATTCAACTCTGTTTCTCATGCACACATCTTTGACACTATAGAATGCATGCAAACTGATTTATTCTTTAGTTTTAATTTCTTTTAAAGAAGTATAGCAAAATATTTTAATTTCCCCAAATTCAGGGAAGATGCATTGTGAAGTAACTCCTTTTCCATTTGTTGCAAGACTTTGTGCAAATTACCTTAGTGCTCTATCGATAACCTATCTTGAGGATAACCTGTTTCCTAACTTAAGTCGTAGACTGCTGAGACTTAATCGTAGACAGCTATACGGGGGGAAAAATGTATGCAGTACTTTTAATCTCTTACCGCACAATTTCAAGATATTCGCTGGGTTATCCAATAATTTTCCTCCGCATACTCACAAATGTTAACCTCAGTCCTCTTTTGTGTCTCCTCTTCATGCCCAGGGAGCTAGCTACCAGATCACGTGCTGGAGGGCGAAGAGCTGTGGCAACCTGGCAGTGACACGGAGGAAGAGCCCGCGGCTCCGTCCCGTCCTCTATCCTTCAATTGCAGATTTCTCCCCAGTTCGCTCTTCTACGGGGTCCTCCCCTCCGCCCTCTGCCCATTGATGTCAAGATTCTCCCCAAGTTCGTTCTTCCACAGGGACCCCGGCTCAAAACTACCGAAAATCGCCGGGAGCCCAGCGCCGCCAGCGCCCAGCAGCTCCCCGCCCGGGCCCGCCTGCTGCACCTGCCGAGGCCCCCGGGGCTGCACCTGCCGAGGTCCCTGGGGCTGCCCCTGCAGAAGTCCCGCCCGAGCCTCCGCCCGACCCGGCCCGGCCTCACGGTCCAGCCCGCCTCCTGGGCCCCAGAGCTGCTTCTGGGCACCCGAGAAGGCGGGGGCTGAGTGGGGTCCTAAATGGGCTCCGCGTTCTTAGTCCCCTCGAGCTTAAGCAGCTCTGGACACCCTCTACCTTGGGACCGCCTCCCGCCCGAAGACCCTGGTTCTCTCAGCTGCTCACCGGTTTCCGCCCGCGGGGCGCGCTGCAAGAGCGGCGTGCGGTCCTCGCCCTCCTCGCCGTCGCTCGGGGCAAGATCCGGAACCGGGGACTTCATGACGCCTCCAAGGAGCGGCAGCGCCGACCACCCAGCGGAAAAGAAAACTCAGACTGAACAGCCGAAGACCCCCCGGGCCGCGGTGGCCAGGCCGAGCTGGGCCGCTGGCACCGCCCCCGGCCTGGCACCGCCCCTCGGCCACGTCTTGCCTCGGGCCCCGCCCAGGGGCAGTTACGCAGACTCCGCCCCTGTCGCCATCTTGGGTTCCGGCAACTCGGCAACCGGTAGTAGGGGGGACGGCGGGCTTCGGGCGTCTGGGCTTGCTGCGGCGCGGTTGGCGCCTAGGTAGCTGGCCCGCCGGGTCGCTGGTGTTCTAAGGAACAGCGTTCCCCTCCCTGGCGCTCCCTTTACAAGGAGCTCAGGGAGCAGGGGTGACTGGGAACCTTGAGGCGGGCGGCAGGGGCTTAAATCGTGCATAATTGAGGGGAGGGCTTGGACCGAACTTGGAGTGGATGTTTTGTATTTGACGTTCAGTTATAGTAGTAAATTGCCGTGAATATTAGCAACCCTGGTACTATCTGCCCGTGACAGCATATTGTCTCTAGGATACCCTTTGAGGCGGAAAACCAGGCAATAGAAACATATTGTTGAGTCCTATGTAATTGCCTACTTCGTAGGTCAAAATAACCCAGTATCAGCAGTTTCATATGGTTCACCCTGTAGAATCATGTGACGTATGTCTCCACAGGTCTAAATCGAACAGGCTCTCCTGGCATTTGCTGACTCTAAGGTAGAAGCGCTAGGAAAATGCACTAGCTTGCCTTGCGGGGAGGGGGTGGGAGTGGGACATACCTCTTCCTACCACAGGCAGTTCTCTGTGGGTCATAAAGAACTGGAGATGGTAGGTGCCCTTGGGGAGTTCATTGCAGCAGGGAAGGAACCCACAAGTCAACAGTTAAATCAGCCAGGTCAGAGGCTTGGTGAGGTCCAGGTGGGAACAAATGAGAGGGTCAGCCTTGTCCGGAGGGGAGGGTGGCAGCGACTGCTGGAGGCATCCCTAACCTCCAGATCGGTAAATGCTAGTAAGGTCATCACGTTACAAGGAGGACAAATCAAGCCTTGATTCTGAGTTACTGAAATTATCCTGTATGAGATTTAAACTGTCCGAGGAGGATTCTGGCCCTTCAGGAATCTTGTAGAGCAATGCCCCTTAAACTTGAATGTAGGAAATCACCAGGCAGTTCCTTTTAAAATTCACGTTCAGGTTTATCAGGTGTGGTATGACAATTAATTAAAAATTTAAAAAAAATAGTTTGGTTTTTATTTGTTAATATAAATTACATTGATTTCTAAAAAAATTGAGGTTTAATTGATTTACAATATATTAGTTTCACGTATACAACATAGTGATTCAAAATTTTTATAGATTATACTCCATTTAAAGTTATTATAAAATATTGCTTATATTCCCTATGCTGTACAATGTATCCTTGTAGCTTATTTATATTATACAGAGTAGTTAGTATCTCTTAACCCCTACCTCTATCTTGTCCCTCTGCCCTTCCCTCTTCCCACTGGGAACCACTAGTTTGTTCTCTATATCTGTGAGTCTACTTCTGTTTTGTTATATTCATTTGTTTTATTCTTTAGATTCCACATATAAGTGATAACAGTATTTGGTGACAGTTAATTTTATGTATCTACTTGGAGGGTGCTTTTGGATGAGGTTAACCTTTAAATTGGTGAACTCTGGGTAAAGCAGATTGCCCTCTGTAATGTGAGTAGACCTTATTCCATTAATCTAAGGCCTGAATAGAAGACCTACCCTCTGAGCACGGGGGCGGGGGGGGCGGGATTGTCTAGCAGATTGCTTTCAGACTTCATTTGCACCATGGGTCTCTAGGCTGCCAGGCTACACGCAGATTTAGGCTGGCCAGCCTTCATAATTGCACAAGCCATTTCCTTATAATTCTTTCTAGCCATTTCCTTATAATTCTTATTATGTCCTGCACGCACACACACACACTATTGGTTCTGTTTCTCTGGTGGACCCTGGCTAGTATATCTGGGATGGGCCTGAGATTCTGTATTGTTAGGAAGCTCACAGGTGACCACAGTTTGAATAGCAAGGTTATAAAAGACTTGAACCAGGGAATAAAGATTCCAACAGACTTGAAATATTTCAAACCACAGGAGGTCCTTTAAAAAAAACAAACAACCCACACTTTTTATTTTAGAAGTTTTAAGTTTACAGAAAAGTTGTAGAGATAGTCCAGAGAGTTTTTCATACCCTTTGCCTTGTTTGACCTGTTGCTGAGGTCTTACATTAGTATGATACATTGATCACAACTAATTAGCCAATATTAATAGATTTTTTAAAAATACATTTATTTATTTATTTTTGACTGCATTGGGTCTTCATTGCTGCACGCGGGCTTTCTCTAATTGCTGCGAGCTGGGGCTACTCTTTTTTGTGGTGCGTGGGCTTCTCATTGCGGTGGCTTCTCTTGTTGCAGAGCACGAGCTCTAGGCGTGGGCTTCAGTAGTTGTGGCATGCGGGCTCAGTAGTTGCGGTGCATGGGCCCAGTTGCTCTGTGGCGTGTGGGATCTTCCCAGTCCAGGGCTCGAACCCATGTCCCTTGCACTGGCAGGCGGATTGCTAACCACTGTGCCACCAGGGAAGTCCCTGATAGATTATTGTTTTGTTTTTTTTCTTTATAAATTTATTTATTTTTGGCTGCATTGGGTCTTTGTTGCTGCACGTGGGCTTTCTCTAGTTGCACTGAGCGGGGGCTACTCTTCGTTGCGGTGCGCAGCCTCCTCGTTGTGGTGGCTTCTCTTGTTGCGGAGCACGGGCTCTAGGCGCGCAGGCTTCAGTAGTTGTGACTCATGGGCTCAGTAGTTGTGGTGCACGGGCTTAGTTGCTCCACGGCATGCGGGATCTTCCTGGACCAGGGCTCGAACCTGTGACCCCTGCATTAGCAGGTGGATTCTTAACCACTGCGCGGCCAGGGAAGCCCTGATAGATTGTTAATGGAAGTTCATACTTTATATTCAGATTTATTTAGTTTTTACCTAATGTTCTTTTTCTGTCCCAGGATTCCATCCAGGATGCCACATTATATTGTATTTAGGCATTGTGTCTCATTGGACTCCTGTAGACTGACAGTTTCTCAGACCTTCCTTGTTTTTACTGATCTTGAAAGTTTTGTAGAGTACTGGTAGGTTTTGTAGAAAGGCTCCCGATTTGACTTTGTTCGATGTTTTTATTATAATTAGACTGGGGTTATGGGGTTAAAGACCACAGAGGTAAAGTGCCATCCTCACCACATAATTTCAAGGGAATATGCTGTCAACATAACTTATCACCGATGGTTATCGCTGGTGGTGTTAAACTTCATCACATGCCTGAGATGGTGTTTGTCAGGTTTTTCCTCAAGTTCCTCTTTTTTTCCCCCTCCCGTTCCATTCTTTTCACTCAGTATGTGCAGCCTCTACTTGAGGGGTAGGGACTTTATGCTTCACCGGTTTGAGGGGCAGAATTGTTTTGTATGGGAGAAGTGTCTGTTTCCCACCATTTGTTTATTTTATATATTTTTTAAAATTAGGGACTCTTATTTATGTATTTTTACATTTTTATTTACTATTGGAGTATAGTTTATTAACAATATTGGGTTAGTTTCAGGTGTACAGCAAAGTGATTCAGTTATACATATACATGTATCTCTTCTTTTGCAAATTCTTTTCCCATTTAGGTTATTACAGAGGATTGAGCAGAGTTCCCTGTGCTATACAGTAGGTCCTTGTTGGTTATCGGGTTTTTTTGGCTATGATGTGCGGCTTGCAGGATCTTAGTTCCCCGACCAGGAATTGAACCTGGGTCATGGCAGTGAAAGCACAGAGTCCTAATCACCGGACCTCCAGGGAACTCCCATGGTTATCTGTTTTGAATATAGCAGTGTGTACATGACAATCCTGAACTCCCAATCTCTCCCTCCCTCCCACCCCCATTTGTTTATTTATTCAATCATTTATTTGTATTAGTATGGACTCATGGTTATTTATCTTATACTTTGGGTTATAATCCAACACTTTGTTATTTATTTTATTACTCAAATCGTTCCAGCTTTGGTAATTGGGAGCTCTTTCAGTTGGCTCCTGTGCCCCTTTTATATGCCCCTGCTGTGTTTTTTGAGCACTACCTTACTTTCTGGTATTACAAGCTGTCCCAGCTCATCCTGTATAGTCTCTGCTCCTGCCATTTCTCCAAGGTGAATGATATTAGAAACCAAGATGGGTGCTGGGTGTACTTCTTGTTACATTGATTCCAGGCCCAATTTTTTTTTTTTTTTTTGCGGTACGCGGGCCTCTCACTGCTGTGGCCTCTCCCGTTGCGGAGCACAGGTTCTGGACGCACAGGCCCAGCGGCCATGGCTCACAGGCCCAGCCGCTCCGCGGCACGTGGGATCCTCCCGGACCAGGGCACGAACCCATGTCCCCTGCATCGGCAGGCGGACTCTCAACCACTGCGCCACCAGGGAAGCCCCAGGCCCAATTTTTTGTTATTGTTTTCTTTTATAATCTTCTCAAGAGGATTAAAAAAGAAAAGTGTAAGATAACACCTTTTTCTTCCTTATTTCTGGCATTTAATTCCTGCTCACTACCATAGAAGATTGTTGTTGATGTTATTTATTTTTTGGTTAGTAATTCCTTTCTTTAACAACACTCTAAACCAGTACTGTTCAATAGAAATATAACTCAAGACATATATGTAATTTAACATTTTCTAGTAGCCTCATTAAAAACTTAAGAAACAAAAAAAAGGTGAAATTAACTCTATAATATACATTCTTTAACCCAATATACCAAAAATGTTACCAATTCAACATCTAATCAGTATAAAACACTTAATAAGATATGTTACATTCTTTTTTTCA